ATTCAGACGGGACTTACAAGGATCTCCATTTGATATATTCTTCTTGCCACCATTACAATGTGTGTATAAATTTGATTACTATATCGACCCAGAGGATCTCTACGATCATAATCATGACGAGAACAGGATACAAAACGATGCATATCAGCATTTATTTTTAGGTAAAGTTTGTAAATACCTCATACTTCGTTGGAACTGAGTTATTGGTTTTAGATGAACTAGTCGATACTAGTCAATTTAGTTTCGGCTGTACTTTCCATTATTTTCTCACCTTTGCAAAAGAGTATTGAAGATGTCCCACAAACTGAGTCATTTAACCCAATTTCTCTTATAGGTTGGAAGATCGCAGCACTTTCCGGATGCGGGTCTGCGGTGATATTCACAGCATCTGCGTTACTTTTGGCCGTATGTGCTTTCTGCCATAGGACTTTCATTTGTGCCTCAACAGTTCTTGTCACAGTGGCTGGTAGGCAAAAATCCTTAATTTTTCAGTAAACCCAATTAACGGCATTATCTCTTCCAGCCATATTATCTAGCATTGGCGTATCAGTTTTTTATGCATGGGCGAATTATCAGGACAACAAAGTAATCAAGGAGGAGGAAGATACCATCTATGAGGTGACCAAGAACAGACTTGTTTCTCCTTTTTTATCGTCGCTACATTATTTGATTTGTAATTTAGCAAATTCTTGGATGGGCTTTCTACTGTCAAGTTGTCGCCGCTTTAGTGACCTGGTTGGCATCAATGCTTGGATGCTGTGTTACATCGGTGTCATTCAGCAAAACTAGAGCTAAACTTGTCAAAATTGAGGTAAACAAAAGTTGTATCACTGTTTGATGTTTTATATGTACGAGGATTACTAAATCAAGGGATACAAATGACCGTAACCCACTCTCTGTGTCAAAAATGGGAGAAACGTTTCTTGTTAAGCCAATTTGGCAATTCATAGTTTATGCAACGACCCTGAGTGTGTGAATTACAGGACCTTGTCTTTTATAATTTCTGGCTTTCTAATTCTGATGCTCTTATACTGTAGTAACAAAACTATATAGTTTTAGAAGCTCGAATAAGTTGATATGCTTCTATTAATATTTGTTAGGGTATGCTCCTTCTTGAATCGAAAATAAGCATACACATAAATAGATGATTATGGAAGAAATATGCCTTATGGCCTGACTGTACTAAGCGACTACACTTTATTGCTACAGGTTGTCGAAGGCGGTGATGAGTCGCAACTGTTGTCGGGAAGAAACTCCTCACAGCCATTCAAACGGTCGTTTTCCGTGAGTTTTTACTCATCTACTATACTTTGCTCAAAAGGACTTCAAAACATGGTTAGCTCCGACCGGACGGCTGGTTGACTTTGTTACGTCTGTTTTAGAGAACATTATCGAAACTTTTTTTACACAGTTTCTATTCATTTAGAATACTAAGATCGCTACATAAGTTCCTACAATATCTTTTGTCTCTTTTCAACAGTTCCTAAATCTTTGGCTTTAAGAAATATTCCAAGGGCCCTTTTGTTGCTGTACAAAAACTCATTCATCGTTTTTCAAAGACTTAGGGCATTTTACTGGATTTTCGATGGCATTGTAAATGAAAATGCTTATCGAAGAATTGTTCAAAAATCACATAAGATCACGAAAAATGTAAATGCTAAAATTGTGTTTTTTGTCGACTTGCCTTCTCACTTCTCACACTTTTCAACTCAAAATGAACGGTGATAAGTTTTAACAGGAGAAGCTTTACATAAATTAGTTGCTTAAAGTTCAAAATATTGCGGAAAAAACTGCCAAGGAATAGCAGACATGTATGCAACCCTAATATGTACATACGAGCATCTTTGTTTGTATTCGACAATCAGCTATCCCAACTTGAATTGACACATATTTTTCGCAACTACATAGCTAGGACAAAAACTGATAAATCTTAAAGAACAAACTCAAATCTCGAAATAGTGAGTGGCTGTGTAAAAAAAGGCATAATCAATCGCCGTATAATACTTTGGGTTGCGAGAGCATTTTTGGACCTGCTGCTTAATTACTGACACCTACTGAGGATCCCTTTACAAGATGTTTCAATTCCAGGCCATTTATCGCGTTGATTCTCAATCACTCCGACAATGGGAGCGAGACTATATTCGGAATGCACAGGGGCATCAGCAACGGCAAGAGGACGAGGCAAGTGTTATAACGTCATAAAGTAAGTCATAGAAAAGCATATTACCTTTTTTAAGCGCGCGTTCAAGAGAACAACATCGGTGCCAAACTATTCCAAGAAGCAGCGAGCTGCCGCGCAAAAAAAGTTGGCAAGTCGATCCGGTCGTGACCTTTTCTCCTCCACCAGCAATATGACGGAAACTACGCATACAGGTTAGCCTACAGTAGCAGAAATTGGAAAGACAGCATCATCAATGAATTTAGGATCCATAAATACTTTGGAAAGGAATCAATCGCGAAGCATCTCTTCTCAACCAGTACCGCCAGCGATTCCCTCTCCTCATCCTACTTCGAAGTTAAAGTCTGCTTTGAAGACACCACAGCAGTCAAGAAAAAGCATAAACTTTGATGATAGCGATATTACTTATGAGTATCTCCCATGTGACGATATATCAGTGGGAGTTTCGAGCCTCTCAGGCACGAGGTAATACGAAATATGGTATAAATGAATATAGAGATTGCAC